AACAGGGAATGGCTGTAAGCATTTCCGTAACTGCTCAGGCTCAAGTCAAGCGGGATGTCGCAATGTGAAATTCCAGGTCAAAAGGTGAAATGCTGCTAAATTTAAGATTCATGTTTATGTACATGAATAAATGGTTATTTGGAACATTTCCATTTCAGACACACTATATAAGGTATGGCCGTTCTAATGTTGAGTGCGGGGGGTGGTGGTTTTTTTCTGTTCTTTTTTTCTCTTCTTCCTTCTTTCCATCTGGGTACTGCAACAATTTCACAGGAATTATGAACTGCAAAAGTTCTCCTCAAACACGCTTTTTCAAGTAAGCAAGCCTAATTGCTTTTGTGCATTCAGACTTGTATCTATGAACGTTTGGATATGGCCCTGTAGGCTCACTTTGTCACCCTGAATATAGGATTAAACAATGTAGTCTCCCGTCTGTTTTTTCTGGCTTCCTACTGCTCATTGCCCAATATTGGAAGAAAATCGAGGAACAGAGGTGCGTGAGGTAAGAAACCATTCACAAACAAGACAAGATCCCATCAAATATAATGGGAGAGTGTTGTGTGTGTTTTTAATTTTGGGAAGGTCAGAGCTTAAAGGGAGAAAATGTGTACCAGGAGACAAATGGTACTCTAGGGAACCTTTTGGCCTGGGGGTACTGCACTCTTCCTCACACCGTGGTGTTGGGAGGACAACGTTGTTGGTCCCTTCTGAAGGGAAGGGTTTGTAAAATGGATCATCTGTTTTTTTTAACAGCCGGTGACACACTTAGTTTGATAATTGCAGGCTGTCTATACAATTCCCAGAGATGTTTAAACCATACAGTCATACCAGGTATAACTCTTTCATTTCCTCTCCCAAGCTGGTGTCTGGTTTTTGCTGCTGGGTGAATGCTGTTACCATACTGAGGGGTCTGAATTCTAGCAGTAGGTGGAGTTATCGCAGCAACCCACCGCCCAGACAGCAGGTATGAAAGTGAATTCAATAAATGTAAGATATTAGGACTTATTCCTCCTCCCCGACTCCATGGTACTTGTTGCTATGCCATTAATTCCTTGCAGTTGCTATAGGTGATTGCTAGGAGCAGGCTCAACAGTAAGATCTTCCTGCACGTCTGTCATCTCAGGGTATCTGGTGGTCAAAAGTGTGCGAAGAATTTATGGGAAACGGCACATTGAACATGAATTCAAGTACTGATTCTGGGTAGTGTCAACCATCTAAGTATATCCTTCCCTCAGAGATGTTTTAGATTATTCTTCTAAGCACTATTTAAACTTTTTATAGGTGAGAGCTTATCATTCCCTGCTCATCTTATTTTCCACTATTTATTAGCACTGTTTGATTACATTGTGCTACTTCAGTGTCTCTATTTACTGTCAGATTAATATTAAAAGTAAATTTTGCTCCTGTGAGAATCTCTTCCATTTCAGTACATATTTGCTGATAAATATACTTGCATAGCCTTCTTCAAAACTGTCCATGGCAAGTTCTTATATATCACCCAACTTAAAAGAATTTTTCAAGTGAGATTTGGCAAAATCACTTCTCAGATTTTCATCTTGATTTACATCTATTGCTTTTATAGAATTTTATCCCTAAAGAGCAAATCTGACTGGTGCCTTGTTCTGTAATTGCCATCTTCATTATCTTTTAATTCATTTTTTTCATTTCCCACTCTTAATAAAAATTAAGTAACTTGCATGTACTAGGTTATTACTAACAAACTTGGATCTAAAGTCTATTTAATTTTCAGTAGTTCCAGAAGTGGAATCAACTCCAAGACGAAACTGGCTCTGCTGAAACTGGCTCTGTTTTCATGCTAGATTCCAGAACAACTTGCCAGGTACTAATATTTGATACTGAATTACAGTAGTTGAATGCCTTACTAAGCATTGGGGGTGGGGGGAGAGGAGAACCCTGTATGGAACTGATGCAAAGGGCTTAGCTCATTAAACTGATACCTTAGGCTACTGTCATAAAGAGCACATTAAAGTTATGTTGGCTTTCTTGCTCTCCCCAACAACTTTTTTTATTGAATTCTTGTTCTTTGTGCACATTTCTGCTGTAATATTAAGAACTGATACAGGGGGTTCTTAAAACATATTTAATACTTCCCTGCAAACTAAAACCAGACACTCATATTCTCTTCCAGGCCCAGCTGTGCTGGCTGAAGATGCTGCTGCCCCCAGCAGCACAGCAGCCCTCCCCTGCTTACCCTTTCTGTCCCCTCAAGCTCTGCTTTAGCAATAGCCTGAAGCACACAAGAGGGGTGCAAACAGTTGTGTTAGCCTGTGAAATCCTCAGCTCCTGCACTGTGAGAAGGAATGGATGGGTAAGGAAGTCTCTAATGCTTTTATTACTGACAAAGTACCCATAGCATCAAACTGTGGGCTTAGATTTGCTATCTGAGCTTCTCATGAGTGCTTCTTCACCTTGAGCAGTCCTAGGCAGTTCAGTAACCTTACACACTTGAAAAAGAGGTTGGCTAATACAGCTTTTGTAATGGCAGTGGCAGTACCAAGGCGGTATGCGCTTCAGCCCAGCTGGAGCTGGGTGAGACCATGTGGACTCAACAAGTACATGGACAATGTCTCCTTGCCGAGATGTTGGCTGACCAAAAGCTGAGTGTGGGCTGGTCTGCTGCCACAAGCCACAAACGAGCCTTTCATCCAGTGTCAGGTTTCCTCTCGAGCCTCTGGGCAAAAGTGAAACTGAAGGAAACATCCTCAAATTCCTGTAGCGACACAGTTGCATGTCATGTATATATTACATGTTCTGTATGAATAGAGCCATAATTATTTTTTGTAGAGAATAAATATTCCTTGTGCATATGAGGAGAACATGTAGGTGCTCTATTACGTGGGAAACTGCTGGGCTGTGTCCTGAAAAGCTTAAAGTCTTCTCTGGCATTGGAAATGTAACTTGTACCTCAATTAACATCACCATCTGGTCACAATAGTGTGATTGAATTGCTGAGTGGGAAACAGCTTTTAAAATGTTGTAACTTAGTGGGAAACAGCTTTTAAAATGTTGTAACTTAAACTTTGATTTAGTGTATTGCATAAAAGTGTGTATGATTTACATTTGATACATCCTCTTTTTCATTAGTGCCCTGCTATATGAACAAAAGTTCTTATGGTCCCTAAAGGTTGTGTGTTTCTGCTACCTGTGCTTCCTCATTGCTAACTCTTCCTCCTATCATTACGCATCCCAAATCATAGACATGCAGAATGTTTTACCATGGAGGGGACCTGGAGATCATTTAGTCTGATCTCCTGCTTAAAGCAGAGTTGACTTAGAGCAGGTTGTTCAGGGCTTTGTCCAGCTGAGCCTATGCTGGTATGTTGCAGTCTAGCTCTTTCCAATCGTTACTCAAAGTTTTCAAGTTAAAAAGTTTACTTCCCAAGTAAACTTCTTAAGTTTTTACATAAAAATTGCCTGCATAAATATATATTCCCTCATGTATTCTTGTGTCTATGCAATAATGTAATATATAAATCAAGTGTGTGGGGCAGTGAACTATTATTATGACCACACTTGTAGAAATATTTGAGTTAGTTGACTTTACATAAACACTTTGGCCTTAAAGCCATGGTGTGCAGTGACATGTACTGTGCAGCAGTCTAGTTACTAGCACTAATGTTTGAAGGGTCTTTCAGAGACACCATTGCCATCCCCTCAAGCAGTGGGGATGTCCTACCTTGGCCCCAAATGCTTACTTTAAAAATATTTTCTCAAAACAGTATTCCTCTATGAAAACAATACATACTAAAAGCAGTGAAACCAGTAATCTCTCCCTGCAAATAACTCACCCCAGTCTGAAGGTGGTGGGGAGCAACCTTTCCTCTGCCACCCAGTGGTTCTCGGTCTCTAGAGCAAAGACTGCTCATATTTGTTCATGGTCAAGTCTAACTTGGTGACAGCCAAGGCAGCAGTGCAGCTGGGGTTTCTCCTCTTCAAGGACTATTAAAGTCCTTGAATAAACATCAATTTGTTCTCCTGCCTCACACTGAAGGTATGGAGACCATGCTGAGGACAGGCGGCAGGAGCCCTGCTGCAGTCGAGCGAGGCAAGCCCAGGTATTGCCAGAGCACAGTCTTTGAGCAAGCTGCCCACTGAAACTTTGTGGAGAAGTAGAAAAGCGAGGAAACGTGGCCAAGAGGATCATATTTATTAAAGACCCAACACTACTTTGGACAGTACAGTTAAAGACTATTCAGAAGGCACAAGCAAAGTTCTACAGATACCTGAAATGCTTTTTTCTTTCCTCTTTTCTGTCCTCACCACTTTTCTTCCTGGGTCCTGTGTTGCTTTTAGCTGAGTTATGGTCCAGTTGGTTTAACATTCCACAGTTCCTGAAGCTTTGTCAGCTCTTGGATTTATAACCCACCCCAAGAAGCTCCTGGATTTGGTGTTCTTAACCCAATAGTGCGTCACAAAATTCCAGCTGCCAGCTGAGAAATGGAAAGTGTCCAGCTGACCCTTGTGTCTGACCCAGTCTTTTAAGCCAAGGACCAAAGGCAGTAGCAAGATATTTTGGAACCAAGACAGGATGTTAGTCTGCTGTTTCTTCCCTCCAAACACAAGCTGACTTCAAAAGAAATGTACTGATATAAAAGCTCTTATAGGCAATCGTGTGCAGCTCCTTGTGGCAATAGCCAGTGGGGGAAATAAATAAATCAATCCTTGGCTTAGTGGGGGCATGCTTAGTCCTTACTACGGCTCTGCCAATGGTTTTGGTAACTAAGGGAACCTAGGCAAGAGTCACAAGCCCAGCTCAGCAGTGGCAGCAGCTCAGCATGCTGCTGAGCACCCCTCCTTCCTTGGCAGAGTTGCGTTTGGTTGGAGGTGGGGACATAGCAACACTGAATGGCTTATGAAGAAAAAAAAAATAGTTGCTGTTTAAATAAACAGGATGATGGATAAAAAAGCACAATATTAAGTAATTAATGTAATTACTAATGAATTCAGACTTGAGACAAGCCACTTTCGCAAACTGAACATTAGTATGCATATGCACTTTATTTAGTCATTTATTATTTTTAATGTTCACAGCAACTGAAACTCTGGAATTTTTAGTTAGTTTAAAACAAAACATTGAAATAGTTCAATACCATCAGTTTTCTGTAGTTCAACAGTAGCATTAACAAAATATTCAGTCACTACAAAAAGCAGATCTAGTGATAACAAAGGACCGCATGGTTTTTAACATGTTTAGCAAGAGGAAGCTAAGCAAGGCAAGTAGCCTTCGAAAAGCTGCAGCTCTACAGTGTCACAACATTGCTCAAAGCAGATGCAAAGGCAGGAGTTTTAATTTTTAACCCTTTCTTATGAAGGCATTTTTACCTTAGAAGCAAGAGGCAGCTTAATGGTACATCATACTGCATGAATTTCAGCAGCTCAGGTGATGGCTACTAACTGAGTCCCTCTGGCTTATGAGACAGTAGCTGTAGGCCAGTGTGGAGTAGCTCTAACAAATCTTCTACTAAAACGCAAAATGAACTGAAATATAATAGCTCAAGATATTTTGCAGTCCGTTAACTAGGTGGGGTCGGGGGTAGCTAGAACAAAACAAAAGGTAGCTGTAATAATTCAAGGAAGGTTAGAATGACTCTATCAGAACAGCATCACAAATCCTGAGCACGTGACTGTAGAAAAATTACATGATGCTTGTCAACTCTGAACAACCTGAGCTAGACTGGTGCTTTAGGGAGAGACTGAAGGGTGAGAAAAGCAGTTCAAGCAGGCATGGCTTAAAGGGACAATAAGGTGACAAAAATATAGAAAGTATGTATGTGGGTATCAAGTGGCAGTCTGAAATGGCTTATTAAACCTGTTGCTCAAAGGAAGACAGTCGTGTACCTTAGGGAAGCATCACAGGTCAGCAGCTAGAGATATGTTTAGCATCCCATACTGCACGGAGATCAAATGCAAGGCACCTGTGGCCAAACCAGAGTGACCATGAGTGAGTAAAGAGTGGTTACAGTTTCCTTAATTTCTCTAGGCAAGATGGGAGGGAAAACTCTTAAAAAAAAAAAAATGACCACCACCAGTACTAGGAAAACTATGGCTGGAGACCACACTTACTTACTGTCTTCCAAACTTTTAGGTGGCCCTGTTACATTCTGGGGCACAGTTTAACAGAAACTATCATCAGAAATCTCTGTCCATGTCCCCTTAATCTTAGAAAGCTGTACTTAACTTCTTATATCTTGCTTTCAATTTGTCTACCATAAGTTTTTCCCGCCTCAGTGTAATTAAAACAGCCGCAGTTTAGGCCATTATGAGCACTATCACCTTAATCAGGCTGAACCATCAGGTAGCTCTGATTTTTTTTTACACTTAAGTTTATCTTCACAGCAATCCCTACTGTGTTGGGGAACGAAGCTATGAATAGAACGGCTCTGAAATGCGGTCAACAGGCATTTCCGTGCTGCTCTAGGGAAGGCACAGGTAATTATTTTAACTGTCCCCAGTTTGTTCTTCTGTCCATAATTATAGCTTTGAGTTTATAAATAATGAAGCACGATTTTAAAAACCAAAACAAAACCCTCAGTTGTCCCAGGAATCATGTTGTAATCGAGTCTCCAAATGTGGCTGTGTAAAAGAGAACCAAAACTACATTGTGTAAGCCTATAACATACAGATGTGCGTAAGCGGAGCAAAGCGACAGGATGGAAAACGTCACCAGGAAAATAAACTCTCTCATCATTATTTCACTGCTTTTTACCTATAAAAACAATGGCCTATTGTCTTGATTAAACCTATTGTTCTGTTGCATTTTTTGTTATTGAAGGAACCAGCAGTTGGTCAGTGACAGTTTCCTGAGAAGGAGCAGCTTGAAAAGCTAAATACAGTATCCTGTGCTTAAGGCTTCTTTTGCTACAAATTGAGGAAAAGTTATACTGGAAAATGTAAATCACTGTGGTAGATTAAAGCACATAGTTTAAAATTCAACTTGCTTAAACACCCCCACTTAAAAACACACTCCAGTTTTACAAGAAGAGTGGTTAAAAACTACTGAACGAAGCAGATCAAACATCTGTCCTGTAGCATCCTGGCTTCAGGAATGTTCCTCTTGTGTTACCAGGCGGTGTATCTCACCTGGGACAAGAAAGAAAATTGGTATGTCGGGAACCAGCACAGCAGGAGGCTTCATTAGCCCCGAACAGGAGTAAAGCAGGGCTTCAGGAGGAGCAATGCCCTGTCTGGACAAACACCTTCATCACAATAAGCACATCATCAGCAGGACAGTCTGTAACATATACTTTGGATAAACAGAGGTACCTACAGATACAAGGCAACTATGGCTTAAGTATTTCAAGAGATCTTTGCCCACCAAGAAAACAAGTTCCATATTAAAAACTTTCTGCAAAATGCACACATTGTTCTTTCTCCGCTTAGTATCGTCCTCGTTTGAAACTTGGCTCTTGCCCAAATGCAATCCAGAGCAACGCTTGATGATAACTCAAAAATGTGCAGTCAATCTGTGTGTAGTTTCAGCTCCTGAACACCAAGAGTTGAAGTGTATTTTTTTTGAGAGAAATAGGCTTGACCACACAGGATAATTGTGTTTACATAAGTTTTTAGATGACCAAAGATAAGAGAAATACTTCTGTTAACTCCTTTGAGAAAAGATAAAAACTTTAAGGTGAAAAATTTCACTTTTTTTTTCAATGTAATTTTATCCACAAAAAAACAAGTATAAGGCCTGGTAGAGATTTTTCTGCACTAAAGAGAAAATAAATTCGCTTGCATTTTTTTTTAACCTTACAGCTATATATCATCATTAAAAACTAGTTTGAACAAAGAGTAAACTTTTGCTCTTTGGTCTGTCTTGATATTCCTCCAGACACACATTACAGAAATATTTCAAATTCATTTTTCTCCCCTATTTGCAGGAAATAAGAAAGTTGCGTTTCTTATTTTCCAGGCTTCTGAAATGAGAAAGACAAAGAATTTGTAAGTTGAAACAAGATGCCTCTGCTTTCTTTAAAGAATTAAGACGACAAGCATTGCAACCTAAAACATACTTGTGATGTTTTAGCGAAACTGGCTATTTTTGCCTCAAACATGATAAACAAAAATGTTTTGTTACATCACATGCACCTTCCATTTATTATCTGTGTATCCCTACTTGGGAGGGAAACAAAGACCTGTACTCATGTTCCTGCATGATATGGGCTTTAGACTGTACATTGTTACAATAACTGCTACTGACCAAAGTCCTGATGTGCTATCCTGTGGCATGTCCACTAAAGTAAGAAAAGTCAGGGTTTTATTCCATCAGATCAACTGTATAACTGCAAAGAAAAAGACTTCAAAAAACTTCTGTCTGTATCCGAACGAATTAAGATGCAAACGTCTCGCAAAAAGTTTCCCTTTCTGAGACATGAATTTTGCCGTCCTTCCCTCAGGTGCTTCCTTATAGCCTTGAAGATGCTCACGTTACATTCAGAGGTCTGGGCTTCTTCTTGCAGTCCAAAATGCTCTGGGGGCGGGGGGCAAAGTACCCATGCTTCCTGTCACAATCATTTTAGTGCTGTCTACTTCAAAGAAGGGAGAAGTGCGAAAACATATCTGAAATTGTGGACAGTCATGGCCTTGCCAGGTTGCAACCAAATGAGGAAAAACAAACAAACCAAAAAACTCTGGATACTCAAAGCACAACTGGCACAGGAAGAGTGGGCACCTGCTGCAGCTCTGATTAAATTAGAGGAATCCTTAGAGCCCCAAAGGGTATGTAGCAGACTTTACTTTTGCAGGGTGGGTCAGGTTCATATATTCACCTTACTGTGCAAATAGTACAACATTTTATTCTTATAGTTCTTCCTGCTGGAAGAACTGTCTCATTTCAAGTAATTCTTATTCTGACTGGTGCTATCTACAGGTATCCCATAAGGAAGTGATTTCAACTTTCCTCTTACTGCATCGGCTGGGCAGTGGCTGGGCAGTTTAGGTCAAGCAGGATAATGATCAGTGATGAAGAACTAGCCAGGCTCCCTTCAGGTTCATTTCCAGATTTTTATATGCTTGGGTGTTTCTAATAAAAAACACAGCTCCAACAGAGAGAGTTTAATACTGTATGTACTAAGTATTAGCCATCTGTTGACAGAAAGAAAGAGCTGACTTAATTTTGGCTTGAAAGTTTTTGCTTGCTTTAGAGTATGTCCTAATGACCGGTACTCTGCAATTTTTTTTGTGAGAACTATCATCTGCTTTATTAACACTGTGAAGGGATGGGGGAAAACATCGACAGACTGATGACATCAGTGTTTCAGCTCAATAAGAGCACCACACACTTCTAGCAGCAGGAACTTCTCTCCTTCTGTGTCTATTTGTTTCACAGGCCTCATGAAGTTATATATTGCAAAGAAGGATATAAACTGCTCATTAAAACAACTGCTCTCAGCTATGCATGTGTGTTTATAATGAACCATCTGCAGCTCTTGGACTAATCTCTGAATATTTTTCAATTACCACATCTTAAAGATTTGAGTCAGTTCTAATGAGTTGGCACAAACCGTATTACTAGAAATTTTACACTGTACACTAAAACCCTAAGAAAATAATTCAAATCCAACAGAAAACGTTCCCGAATCTGTCGTCAGAGAAACAAACCCACAAGTACCTCAAAGTGCAATATCAGCCACCGTGTGGTCTTAGTTTAATGATCTCACATGGGAAAGCAAACCCAGAGAACAAGGCTAAGCTTGCTCTAAATACTAATACTTAAAAGCAAGTTAGGAGTAAATGAGTATCATTTCTTTTTGGGTGACTAACAGGACTTGAGATTTCTTCAAACTGACTTTCTCCTATCGCCAGGAATGGTACAATTACAGAGCCAGCTCCTCAACGTGCCAAACTCACAGAGTTGGGAAAACCAAAAGGCATCGCCCGTTCAAACGGCTGGCCACCATTTGGCAAATGAGAAACCCACAGGATAAAGTGCACTTTATGAAACATTTCCTTAAACCCCTCATGGCGCCCTCAGTGAAACAAGGCCCATATAAACTGACAATCTTTTCTATACGTGTGCTGAAGATAAACGTCCTCCTCCAAACTGGAAAGGAAAATAAGGGCTGTTGACCAACCTGAATTTGGAGCTCACTCTCAAAACAATCCTTTCACTTGCTCGGTGATGGGGTCAAGGTCAATGTCATAGAAGCAAGGCCTCGTGGGCAGTCCTGGCATGGTGCTCATCTGGGGGAAAAATAAAACCAAGTTATCCACCTGCCTCTGTAAGTACACAATCGCTCCATGCATGTAAACCTGAGATTGAGAGAGAGGCTAGATTATTCATTGTGGACTCAGTTACAAATGTGATTCTTTTTTCTGTTAAAAATATCAGGCTCTGCACTTCAACTCCTTTTTATGTGTATGCTTCTAAAAGAGAAAATAAAAGCCACAAAATACAGGCTAGTACAATAAACTAAGAATAAACTCTAATAAAATTAAGACACTCTTATTTGTGAGACTTATTTGTGCTTCAGAATATCTATCCATTATTTCTACTGGGAAATTCACACAGCAAAGGGCAAGGACATAACTGCCTGAATTCACCTGGCAATACAAATGCGTTAAACTGCAGACCTTTCCTAGTCAAAAATCAAAACATAGCAGCAGAATTAGTCACAATGCTTTCACAACTGATTGAACTCTTTCAGTTTGCTCCTGACATGAAACAATCAAACATACATGGATTATAGCTGAATCCTAATTCAGTAGTTAGAAATAGTAGGCTGAGATACAAAGCTCAAACAACCCAATTATCTCAAACGATACATAATTAAGACCCTGATCTAGCATAAAACTTCAGCGTTTGCGTACTTTTCAGCATGGGAATAGTCTCATGGATTTAAATTACACAGTTAACAACGGCTCTGCTCACATTGCCTATTATTTACAATTGGCATTTTAGCAGCAATAAAAAATACATGGGTGATTTAGAAATCTTGGGGTGCCGGTCCACTATATTTTAAGCCACTTTAAACCAGAGGTGCTGCACGTCCTCACCTCCCTACTTGAGCGCTCCCACTTTCTCCCTTGGGAAAGGGAGGCCTAGAGAGCAGGTTCAGCCTGATAAATTTATTTTTTGATTGGCTTCATTTTCTCTTGTTTCAGCACCTCGAGCCAGTTCTGCGGCTCTACTGCCAGCACTGGCACAGAGAAAAGGGTGTAAGTGTGGGGCAGGTTTAAGGCAGGACCAATCTGGATCAATGAAAACCACTGTGGATTCACACCCTAAGTCTCACTAAGATGACAGAAACCTTTAATATTGCACCTTACTCAAAAAAAATTCCAGGCAGTCTAAAAATAGCATTTGGGCTTCTGAACCTCATAAACACTTGGGATATTTTAACCTCAGAGGCAGAGGATGGCCCTATTGTATGAGGTCCTACAATAACACCCAAAGACGGGAAAGGCATTACAGCCTCTGGAAAGAAGACTGAAGTTTGGCATTAGCTCAACTCAGGGGGTAAGAGCCTTGAAGCATTAAAACTTCTTAAGTGAACAGTAGACTTGGAGGTCCAAAATTTTAGCTGTGGCAAGTCTGCAGAAGCCATTGAAGTTCTGACCCCAGGAGGTAACCCTTGTACCAAAAAAAGGAAAAAAAACCCAACCATGCTGGCTTGAGGACCAGAAACACTTCAGCCACAGTGACCTAAGAAAGGGGAGACTTCAGGGTACATTTTCATGCCACAACTGAGCTCTTATTTGCTGCTGAAAGGGGAAGGTGAAGGAGTGCTGTGCTCCCTCTGGGATGATCCTCCTTTGGAGCTCTGGCACAAACTTACTGCAAAAAAAGCTCATTCAGCACACTGAACCGATGAAAATATACATACACGCTTTAGCAGCTGATGAGTTAAATGTGCTTACGGTGCAGCGAGATTACCGCGTGGCACTGGCCGGGAAGCAGCCAGTGTATGCCACGGTAGCTCTCGGCTCAGCACAGGGCATGTGGCCCGTGCTGCTCCCGTAACCCTCTCTCGGCCCCGGGGATGCAACTCTGCAATGACATGGCCAAGAGTGAGCAGCAACAGGCCTCAGAAAAAGAAGAAAAAAAACCCCACCACAAACCCAGCTGTTCCTCAGAGCCATATTTACAGGCCCCTCTCTGGCTGGAGCAGGCTGTATTTCTTTGTAAGCTGACCTTTTCTGCTGCATATTCAGTGATTTAGTTAGCATCGCCCTTACGCTTCAGCTTCACTCTGAAGTCCAGTGTAATGTTTTGCCAAGGGGATACAAAAGAAACTGTAATCTCTCTTTTTCGCTGCCCTGCCTCACCCCAAAGTCCTGTTCATTCCAGAGAACTAACTCAACTCTGCCATTTCAGAAGTCAATCCCGTGCTTGGGATTGGGGGAAAAGGAGCTCAGAGAGCACGCTACTGATGCGGTCATCCGCCTTATTTCTGATCTGCTTCTGAGGAAAAACAATGCAACAAGCGCTTTCAGTGGACTCAGTATATTTCCTCTGTTTTTAAACTTAGCCCTTCCTGATCTTTTGTTATTGCACACAGTAGATTAAAAGACAAAGCTATCCGTCGGCATTAACCAAAACCCAAGCGTCATATGACATCGCTTTACTGACTGACTTTCGCTTGGCGTTTTAGCTAAGTACTAAAACATCTTGTTACTATTCTTTATCTATCGGCCACATTAGTCGGACTGCTAAATTACTGGAGTTACTGAATTATTTTCTGTCTCAGATTCGTCCCAGTTTGCAAGCTAGCTCTTGACAAGAAACTGCCTTAATGAATTCCATCTCACTGGGAGGGGCTGAACAAACGGCCAGAGACAACTTTCTCCGTGCTCTGGATGTGGCCACGCTACATCTCAAAGTGAACTCCCAGATTCCATGCTCCTTTTTCAGTGTATCTGCAAGCGTGGCCAGTCTTCATTCGCTTTTTATAAATACCCCTGTATAATACAAATAATCATCAGTTTAGGGGAAATTTTCTTTGATTTTTTTTAATGAAAAGTTAACAAAATTGTACGTGTACGTTTATTTTTATTTTCTATGTTTTATTTTATGAAGACCATAGGCCCAGCCCTACAGCCCAGTCCTATGGTAACTTCACCATATTAACTAATGGAAATCTCTTTTTCATTTAAGCAAATGGAATTTCAATAAAATGTGAATATCAAAACAGTTTATCACCAGTTCGGGGAATATAACTATTCTCATATTGAAAATATAAGCCAACACAAGGGAATGAGTTCACCTGAATTAAAATTACTGCTGCATAAAAAGAAGTACGAGGCAAAAAACCCACGAAGGACACACTTTGGGACTAATACCTATGCGAACTACAGAGTGAAAATAAAACACTTGGCATTTTCCCCAGGGCCTGGATTTCCAAATAGGAACTGTAAAGCCATGTAGATTTATGGTCATTTCTCTCTGCTCTCATTATTCGGACACACAGAGGTAAAATGCAACAGAATCTATCCTTCTTTTTCATTACTTCAAGGTCAATAGGAGGAGATGGCTGGCTGGCTGAGGAGATTACTACCAATTATTCCCCCAACAGCACTCTATTTCTTTCCTGCAGCTAAAAAGGCACAAGAGAAAAGATGGCTCAGCCAGCTGCAAGGCTGAATCAAGTCTTTCCGTGATGGACTTTCCACCCAGCTGCAGATTCACAATGATCCTGGCCCCTCGCACTGTTTTCTGCAATGCTGGTACCAGAAAAGCACACATGAAATTTGCAGTCGTACAGTAGACTAGATTGCAAGGCATCACACACCCTCCTCCATACACTGTACAGAGATCGGGGCAAGCCACCACTCTAATATAATGCCATTTTGGATATAATTTGGCAGCTGTGCAACACTACACAGTGCACAGCGAGAGAATAGAGCAGGATTAGAAGTAGTGAATGAGAATACATTATCTGCTTAAGATCACTAATTGAATTTTGGTAGCCAAAATAATCAGTTCTTCAAACTGACCAAAACTGTTGCTATCATATTTGTCTCGGGAGAAGGAATATATAAAGCACAAACTTTGCATCTTAAGATTTCATGCAGCTTATACGAATGTTTTATGCAGGAAAAAAAGAAGTTCTTTTATGAGGAATTCATCCAGCCGCTGGTCAAAACATGTCATGGATGAGTTCGTAGGAATTAGTTTTGTAGAAACTCACTAGAATCTATCATTTCCTTTATAAACTGTGCAACTGCCTACACATCCGTGAAAGCAGTTCCGCACCAGCAAGACCCCGTGGAAAATGCAATGTGTGTTTATTACTACGTCACTCTGTTTCATAGGAAAAAACAGCAAATCTTACAGTTAGCTATTCTGAGGATCATTCATGCTTCTGGAAATGCATAACCAGAGGAAGAAAAAATTTGATTTTAATTAAGAAAGTCTGAAGGCTACTGCTGTTTACACTAGGCATTTATGATCTTCCATACATGTCTAAACAAGAAACACTTCAGCAGCCTCCTGATAAAAGGAAGGTGCCAGCTATTCCTACAGACGCTGCACGAAAGTACTGTTCCCCAGCCTCCCCAAAAAGATATTTACAGTCACTGGAAGAGTGCCTAAGTTGAGCTTGACTGGCTGTCCGCTCCATGAGAAGCTGGAAAGGACAGCTGCAAATATTGCCCTGCATCACCCAGCACTGTGGTATTTAAGTTGGCAAAATACTGATGCTGGGCAGGTCCACGAGAGGTCATCTGTCGTGTCGATGATAGACACTACTCCTGAGGTGATGAGGTGGAAAATGTAAACTACCACTGATATCCACATCTTCAGTACTGGACATCACAGTTTCTAAGCAAGGATTACCTGGAGTTTTTCTGCAATTTTTATAAAGACCTTAAAAGGTTCTTGAGGACATATTTTGATTCCACTGGTGTCACTGAATCTAAACACCTTTCCTGTGTGTCTTTACTGAGTTGTATTAGTATGTCATTTTTGCCTGACAGTTCTATTCCATGTGTTGTTTTGTACACTTAATAATACCTTTCAAAGTCTGGGTCAAAAGCCTCAAACCTGCCACATTTCAAAATGTACTTCTTAGTCTCCTGGCAATGGAAGGCAGTGGTTTTACTCTTGCATTTTTTGATTTTCCCATAAACAAAATAATCTGAAGCTGCAGAGGATTATGTGCTAGTCAATGCAACTTAACTGGAGATTTATAGAAATGCTGGCCATCAGAGAATCCTACTTCCAAGCAGAGGCCTAGTAGTTT